CCTCACCCCCTGAGGGGTCCCAGACTGCGAGAGGGCCCAGGCCGGGCTGGGGCCCCCCCCCCCCCCCCCCCCCCGAGTGCACAAATTTTTGTGCACCGGGCCTCTAGTCTATATATATGAAAGCCTAAGTGACCATTATGACCGAATGACATGCACTGACCACCAGTGGGCAGACCCTCAATGCAGGAGCTGCCCCCTGGTGGTCAGTGCGCTCCCAGAGCAGGAGCACCGCTCAGCCAGAAGCCGTGCTCATGGCTGGCAAGCGCAGCTGCAGTAGCGGGAGCCTCTCCCGCCTCCGTGGTAGTGCTACCAAGCCACGGTGGCAGGTGCAGCGGGGCCAGGATGAGTGGCAGTGGAGCTGTGCCCTGCCCCAGCTGGGGTTCCTCCCTGGCCACCTGTTGCTTTGGCACTGCTATGTCCCTCAGGGGGATGTCAGACTGCCAGGTTTCAAAACCCCAGCAGTCCAACATCCCCTGAGGGGTCCCGGATTGCGAGAGGGCACAGGCCAGGTTGAGGGACCCCACCTGTGCACGAATTCGTGCACCGGGCCTCTCGTTTTTTATATTTATAGGAAAGCGTTAGGATAGAAGGGAGGAGTTGTGAAGAAGGCTCAGGCCTGAACTAAAGTTCTTTAAGGAGATAGAAGTAATCTCTCCCCTATACATAGCTGGGGACAATCTTTGCACAGACTCCAGCCCCAGTTTATCTGAGAGGCTGTTTTTGATTGAATTTATTGTCGTTTTTTTAAATAAAATTATGTTTACATTTATTGTAAACTTTATAAAGTTCTTTGCACAATATAGACTTACAACTGCAAAAACTAATATCACTGAAAATACTCAGAACTCTTCATAAATTAAAAAATAAAAACAAGACAGCCCTGACTGCATTGCTCAGTGGTTGAGCATCGACCTGTGAATGAGGAGGTCACAGTTCAATTCCTGGCCAGGGCACATGCCCGGGTTGCAAGTTCAATCCCCAGTGTGGGGCGTGCAGGAGGCAGCTGATCAATGATTCTCGCCCATCATTGATGTGTCTATCTATCTCCCTTCTATGAAATCAATAAAAAATATATTAAAAATAACCAAGACAGAAAAATTGGGCTAGTCCATTTCCTTTTAAGAATTTGAAATATCAGTTTCAAATCAGTAAGTAAGATGATGAGATAAGGATTATATAACTGTGGGGCCATTTGTTTCTAATTTCTAGCCCTTGATCTGGGTTGCATAGACTAGACACAAGGCAGAATAATGATGCATAAAATACCACTAAAAAGTCCATACTATAGTCCTAAATATCATACCTTATTTGTAGAGCAAGCATGTCAAACTCGAGGCTGGTGGGCCACATGTGGCCTGTCAGCCTTGAGTTTGACATGCTTATTATAGACAAAGCTTTAGAAGATTTCAAAATTTCTTAGATTTAGAAAAACTGTCGTATTTACATAAAAAGGGTCCAGGCTCTTTATTGTAATAAGAGTTTTAAAAATTGAAAATGCATAATGAAAGGCTAAGCAGCAGCTATGCTGCTGTCTTTGAAGATGAAGGAAGGGGCCATGAACCAAGGAAAGGCAGCCCCTAGAATCTGGAAAAGGCAGGAGGATGAATTCTCTCCTAGTGTATCCTAAAGGACTGAATTCCGCCTTCCAGTGAAAGGTCATTTTATTAATTTCAGTTGACATTCAATATTATTTTATGTTAGTTTCAGGTGTACAACATAATGGTTAAGACAATTACATCATTGACAAAGTGATCCCTGATAATTCTACTACCCACCTGGCACCATACTGTGACTGTATTCCCTATGCTGTACTTTACAGTATGACTACCAATTTGTACTTGTTAATCCCATTACTTTTTCACCCAGTCCTCTAACCCCCATCCCATCTGGCAACCCTCAGTTTGTTCTCTATAACTGTCAGTCTGTTTCTGTTTTGTTTAGTTTTTTTCTTTAAATTCCACATATAAGTGAAATCATATGGTATTTGTCTTTCTCTGTCTGACTTATTTCACTTAGCATAATATCCTCCATCCATGTTATCACAAACGGTAAAATTTCATTCTTTTTTATACCCGAGTAATATTCCATTGCATAACGTACCACCACTTTTTTATCCACTTTTCTATTGATGGGCACTTACATTGCTTCGATATCATGCCTATTGTAAACAATGCAATGAACATAAGAGTGCATATATCTTTTCAAATTAGTGTTTTGCATTTCTTTGGATATATACCCAGAAGTGAAATTGCTGGGTTGTAAGGGGTCCTACTTTTAATTTTTTGAGGAACCTCCACACTTTCCATAGCAGCTGCACCAACCTGCAAACTGTGGGGCTTGTTTTAATACTACCAAGCAGCCAGAAAAGTTTTACCTGTTTGCTCACACTCAACATTCCTTTTAAAAAGGCCATATATGACATGTATAAAAGGACACAAAACCTTTTTCCTCCAAGTGAATTAAGAGCTTATCCTTAGAATAATCAGTCCAGTAAAAGAATATATAATTAATATCCTCTCTTGTTTTAAATAGGGGAGAGAAAATGTATAAAGTTTAAGGAGCAGGAAGCTACTTGGACAATAAAGGATAAATGTGAGGAAGATGCTGGAAACAAACTGGCCAACCGTTTGGCTGTGAAACGGAGGGAAAAAAACACATGTGGTTTTGGAGCGCTGCTCTTTGTATAACATGCCAACAATTTCTTTAAAAAAATGAAGTCATCACCTTAAAGGAACTGCAGTCCCAGAGAAGTCATTAAATGCACCAGAGCAGATCATAAAACGATAAACTTCCTAATCTTGTTTTTTCTGATTTCTAAAGAGCCAATTTTGATTGAGGGTTTCAAATACTTAGAGTTCAGTAATTTCACCTTTTGACTATTTTCCTCTATAACAGTGGTTCTCAACCTTCCTAATGCCGCGACCCTTTAATACAGTTCCTCATGTTGTGGTGACCCCCAATTTTATTGTTACAAATTGAACATAATTAAAGCATAGTGATTAATCACAAAAACAATATGTAATTATATATGTGTTTTCTGATGGTCTTAGGCGACCCCTGTGAAAGGGTCGTTCGACCCCCAAAGGAGTCGCGACCCACAGGTTGAGAACCGCTGCTCTAAAAGAATATATTTATGCCAGTTTGTGGGTATACTTATCTTAATAGTGAGCCAGAATTAATAAGTGAGGGTATATTTATTGTAAAGCCCTTATATAATTCAAACTTCAACAAAATGGTTTCTCTTAAACAGAGGAAATTTTATCAATTTACAACTTAACAGAAAAGTAGCAATCACACTGAAGTTATACAGTATTTCAAAGGTCTGCATTTAATTGGTAAATTCCTGCGTGGCCCAACTCCTATTTTGAAAACATTCTTGAATCATCTCTATCGAAAAGCCCTACTTCATCTTTTAAGGATAGTTCGAGAGGTTTAGAAAATTCTTAAAAAGTACTTACTTATATGAATGTTATGCTTTTTGTGCTAGTCACCTGAGTCTGCTACTTTCACGGAATTTCTTCATTTATTAGTATTCTTAGGAACAATTAAAAATCTTGAATGCTTTTTTAACGTAACTATTAGAATATTGCTTAAAAATTCAGGTTCCATCTACAGATGTCCTCATTCAGCTTTGCTCTGGAACCAAGTTCTGTGGTGCACAGCTAACAAACTTGGCACAGGAGTTTGCTTATTATCCCAATGCAACTCTGTAAATCTAAACTATTGTTTTCCTGGAACAACTTTCCTAAGAACCCAGTAAAAGACGGCCTTACCCAGTTGTAGCCAGTAGATAGAGATAATGCAAAGATCCAAGTTCTCCCTATGTACTTGAGTAAGGCTCTGCAATTTCTCAAGCTATCTGTAGTAACGGGCTGGGTTTTTATTTTCAGGCTATCGTATAGTGCCTATAATTTGAAAAATAAAAGTGAATTCCTCCACAAATGAATTATAAAATGACATAAAATACAAGCCCTATTTTTTAAAAAATTAGATTCATCAGAAACAAAATTACTCCAACAAGTTGAAGTTTCTAAATGCTTCCTGTCAGTATCTGTACTTCTCTCCTAAGGGCCATGATGCAGGCATTGGTCTGAGGACACACCAGCGCTGACAAAGCTTGCTTGAGAGTGCATCCCATTCAGTCAGTAGAACTTGGTTCAAACGTGGCTCTTAATGCTCGCTGGGTAGCCATGGAAAAGGTCCCTTAAGCTTTCTAAAGCCTATTTACTCGTGTGGACCAGGTAAATAATATCCATGCTTAGGCTTTTTATGAGACCTCAGAGATCATGTACTAACCTCTCAGGAAGCACTCAAATGTTAACAGAAACTGAATATGATTGGTACAGTAAACACTAAACACAGGTGTTTTTTTCTCTGATTCTTGCTTCATCATCTTACTGTTTTTTCCATGAATAGAGACAATGTGTTCAGCTGATCATCAGACACTTAAAGGACCCTGTAACCTTGTTTGATGGCCCTAATTGGAAGTACAGCTACTTGGAGACCCCTGCCAAAAACCTGTCCTCTGGATGAGAAGTTTACCCTCTTCCTCCGAGCTGGCAGCTTCAGTGGGCAGAGGGGGGCTACAGTGGCAGTGAAGGAGTCAGGGCACCTATCACCCAGACATGTCTGCAGTCAGTAACGCCCATTAGTTTCATTAGGCAAGATCCAGTTCATTCTTCGATTAATCTTTATAGCTACTATTTATTGTGACCTTACTATGTCAAACATACATGGCTTCAATCTTTACAACAGTCCTCACAGATGAATCATTTTAGAGCTAAGAAAACTAAGGTTCGAAAGTATTAAGTTGCTTATATCACACAATGCCAGTTACTAGCTAGTTCTAAAATACTAGCCAAACACTTGTGCTCTTTTTCATCTGGAACCACAGCCACTCTACATATGGTGTCCAGATTAGTCTTTAGCTTTAAGTGGACGGAACAAAATCAAACTAATAGAACAGTTCCAAAAGCTGCAAGAGCTGTAAAGTCAGTCTAAACTACCAAAGAGTACTTAAGTGTAAAAGGGTAACTACCATACCAGAAGACAATAGCTCCTACCACGAAAATGTCACTGGGGCTAATTTTAAAATCTTGGTACACTGTATTCATGATTTTAAAATGTTGGGTATAAAGAGCCTATATAGCTGATATAAACTGTAATTCTCCATGTTAATAAAGGGTTGGGAGATTGAAATCAAGATCACATAATGTGCTCACTTGGGCCAACACTATTAGAGTTTCAGCTTCTTTCCAAAAAAATTCCTGAGATATTATTATGCAGCAATTCTGCCCCTGTGCATTTTACCTTTCTGCCCCAAGGAAGAAAGGCCTAAAAAATACACAAATGTAAAACAACTCCATGAAAGACTGATATGCTGGTGGTAGAAGGATACAAATCAGTAGAATAAAGATTTTATAAACCAGAGATTGTGTTGTTTCTGTTAGGTAAAGGGATTTCTTCATATGTTATTTTAATAAAAGGAAATTTCATAGGTAAAAACCAATATTCAAAATTATAAAACAAATAGAACTGTCTGTGTATAATCACTGCATCAAAAATTTTTACAAGACTCAAGAGAAATTCTTTAGTTGACAAATGTGGTTTGAAGGGGTAATAAAACCTTTTTATGTCTAAAGCAAGAGTCTTATTTCCAGTTGGCCCAAAAACAGATGTTTCATTTCCCAAAAAAGTAGGTTCTCCACTGTAAAGAAATATTCTTGTGTAGTTGGTTTCTATCTTCTTGAACTCTGCTCCAAGTTCAGCCAACTTCTTATATGTCCTTAACACAAATTTGGAACAGTCGTAGGATTCAAACCATGTCTCTGCCCCTTTTTCTGGGCTGGCTTGGACAGTCCATGTCTCATAATAAATCCCTGTTTCATTGTCCTGTTTTACCCACTGTGCCATTTTGTTAAACATGTTTCCTAGTGAAAAAAAAAAATCACTTATGTGAATATCAAAATTAATCATGTTAGTTTTAAGTCAAATGTTCTAACCAGATTAAGGCTATAGATGTACATACATAAACAATAGTTTTTGAATTTCCAAACCTGCATCTCACAATAGGAATCCAAGCTCAGTCAGTTTTTATTCCATGTTCAAGGCACTAGATATTTCTTAATTGTAAACATTAGATATAATAATAGGCTGTATAAAGATGAGTTTTACATACACTAATTTTATAGTCATTTAAGCTATAATCAAAGCAAAACTATACACAAAAAGAAGTTGTATTTCTTTACCACTCTCTACAAACCTTGTATTCAGAGGCAAAAGAGAAAAAGGAAGCAGGGGAAATTGTGTAAGAGCAAAGAGTGCATGGGGTAACGCATACAAGAACTGAGGAGGGTGAAATGAGGAGCTCAGTCACAAGGCATGGCATGCGTGCAGTCTGTGTGGCTCCTGAGGAATAGCTAGAGAAGGCTGCCTTCCAATGTGATAAGACAGTGGTTCTCAACCTTCTGGCCCTTTAAATACAGTTCCTCATGTTGTGACCCAACCATAAAATTATTTTCATTGCTACTTCATAACTGTAATGTTGCTACTGTTATGAATCGTAATGTAAATATCTGATATACAGGATGGTCTTAGGCGACCCCTGTGAAAGGGTTGTTCGACCGCCAAAGGGGTCGCGACCCACAGGTTGAGAACCGCTGTATAAGAGGACGCACTGTACCCAACCCGCCTAGGACATTTGGTATTTCCCTTTCTTCCTGTACTTGCAGCTGTTGAGATTCTGCTTACAACCTTCCTACCCACCACACACATTCTTCCAATAAATCAACTAAAACTGGAAATGTTTTTGGCCAAGTTCATGGACTATATGGACACCTGGATGGCTAACAGTCCCTCCTACCACCTTGTACCAGAGCACAAGAGCCTCTAAAGCAGTGGTTCTCAACCTTCTGGCCCTTTAAATACAGTTCCTCATGTTGTGACCCAACCATAAAATTATTTTCGTTGCTACTTCATAACTGTAATGTTGCTACTGTTATGAATTGTAATGTAAATATCTGATATGTGGATGGTCTTAGGCGACCCCTGTGAAAGGGTCATTCGACCGCCAAAGGGGTTGCGACCCACAGGTTGAGAACCGCTGCTCTAAATGGTAACAAAACACTGTACTCTGCATGTTTACAAGCTCATCTGGGCATTTATGATGGCTAAAAGAGCCTGGCCCCGACATTTCACTTTGTCACTATGGATGCTTCCTAGGTTACTCCAACTGGAATCTGTAAAATCAGTACTTCATGCTATAAAATAGAGTGGCTGTTTTGTCAATTTTATAGAATTAAAATTTTATAGAATTAAACCTGTTTTCTTAAAACTTGGGAGACTGTTCTTAGTGTTCTTCAACTTGGAAAAGCCAGTGCTGTGATTAAGAGATAAGAATGCTTTGAGCCGAAACTGGTTTGGCTCAGTGGATAGAGCGTCGGCCTGTGGACTGGAGGGTCCCGGGTTCGATTCCGGTCAAGGGCATGTGCCTGAGTTGCGGGCACATCCCCAGTGGGAGATGTGCAGGAGGCGGCTGGTCGGTGTTTCTCTCTCATCGATGTTTCTGATTCTCTATCTCTCTCCCTTCCTCTCTGTGAAAAATCAATGAAATATATTTAAAAAAAAAAAGAATGCTTTGAAACACTGTTTTGTAACATGAGAAAAGGCCAATGGATAGGATTAATTGCAGAGCAGATGGATAACTTAAAAGATTTAAGTACTGGCATATTACAAAATATTTTCCAGGAAACTGATCTCTTGTTCATATGACCATATGTTTATGTCAGAAGGAAGAATTTTCAGATAATGAGCTGGGAGGAAATGAAAAAGGAAAGATGTGAACTGGCCTAGAATGAAAGAGTAGCTATTTATTATACCGAACACTGGTAAAAAAGAAATGAACTTTTATATTATTGGGATGGTTTGTAGCAATTAGAAAGTAGAAAACAGCATGGTATATAGTTGAAAGAAAGATTAGAAAACAGCACAGCATATAGTTAAAATATCCCCAGATGACATGTAAGAGACACCAATTCTATTCCTGGTTCTACATTAACCTATGTGACCTTAAAAGACAGGTAGATCATGCCACCTGGCTGAACTTTAATTCCTTATTTGTAAAAAGAGTATTTTATCTTCCCAATTGAACACAATCCAAAATGCTCTGTAAAGAGCTGTATAAGCGGAAAGCATGGTAATTTCCTCAAGTCCTGTGGTTCATTGAATAGTTCTTATAACAAACAGTGGTTTTTTTATTTCCACTTTTGTGGAGAACAACAATTTATAATGTAGAGTCCTGTAAATTATATGGGCAAGCTCCCTACCTCTAAAAGCCTCATCTTCATTCTACACACGAAGCAATGAGTCAGTAAGATAAAATGTGACCAGTTTCTGATACAAGTTCTGCTGAACTCCTTTCTTTATCACTAACTAAATGCAATACGCACGCAGCAAAATTCCAACTGTTTTAGCAACTTTCAAATACTGGCACATGCAAGAGAACAGAAAATCTCAGAGATAAAATATTTAAATTGCTCAAGAGGCCTCAAATGTGTGAGATCATATGTTTTAGGAGGCAATGTACAAAGTAGTTAAGAAAAGAGTTAATAAGGCTTGACTGCCAAGATTGCAGTCCCACTTCCTTAGTTGTGGGACTTTTAGCTCATTGTGCCTCGGTTTCCCTATCTGTAAAAATGGGAAAACTAATAGCAACTATCTCAGGGGGCTTCTGTGATTATAAATGCTGTGATATATGTAAAGTACTCAGAACATGAGTGGTGGCTATTATTATTAATGTATTATCACTAAAAGCCTCTTCCCAGATACAGTTAACGGGTCCTTTAATGAATTATTTTTTTCAGGCATTTTATGTATTTCCCTCTATTATTTAAGAAGTCCAATTACATTGTGTAAATTGTTTTATCATGTCATTTATTTTTACCATGGGAATAAAGGAGATAAGCTACTCATCACTTACACTTGAAGTTTTGCATGAGTAATAGTTTGGGTCAAAGGTTAGTGGTTCTAGAAGTACATTTTATAAACTGACCCCTATAAACTAAGACATTACTGAAATGCCTCAATGAAAAAAATTTCTATCATTTAGATATTTAGATGCAATCATCAAATAATGCCGTATTTTTTTTAACTTACCTGATATGGTTGCTACTTGAACTAACGTCCCATTCTCCTTCCAGTGACCATCATCAATTCCTTCAAAAAAGCAGGCAGCTCCTTGATTACACCAGAATGGGGCATTCATTTCAGGTCGGAGATGGGGAAATGTGCAGTTTCCAAGTTGGAAAAGTTCATACCATTCCATTGTGTAGTTCTTGCCAGTTAAAGTACTCTTGAATCCAATGGCATCGTGCATAATTTTCTGTGTAAAGATCATACAGGCATAAAAGTATTTGTGAAGCAACCACTGGTCCAGGAACCAGAGGGAGCAAATGTGACAGATATACCACAAATGCAAGTCAAGCAGAACAATGTTCAGCTGTTCCTTCTTCCATGATGCTACTCGGTCCACTCTGTAGCTCCTCAAATTTCAGGCCCTCGTCCACTCTGATTGCCACTGCAGCTCACCTCAGATCGGGAAAACGTATGCTATGTGGACCGTTCCTAATTTCCTTACATCTTAGAATGAGTGTGAGAGGCCGCCATGCCACAGTCTCAGGAAGGAACTCTATGTACCTCACAGGTGGTGAGATACTCAAATGGTGGACTAACCCAGGAAAAGTACATTCAACAGGACCTGAAAATGAAGAAGTGTTTCCTGTTTTGCCCCTTCCTCTGGGCCTCCTCCCTTCCTACTTTTCCAGGAGCTGGGTACAGGAATTGAGTTTGGATTCAGAATATTAAAAGGAATGAGAGCAACTTCATTTATTATTGTCAGGATCACGAAACCTGATAATGTTGGGGTTTTTTGATTATTCAATTTTTAAAAAATATTTTATTGATTTCAGAGAGAAAGGGAGAGGGAAAGATAGAAACATCACTGATGAGAGAATTTGATTGGCTGCCTCCTGTACAACCCCTACTGGGGATCAAGCCCAAAACCCGGGCATGTGCCCTGACTGGGAATCAAACCCTGACCTCCTGGTTCATAGGTCAATGCCCAACCACTGAGCCACGCTGGCCAGGCTTGACTACTCATTTTAAATACACGCAGAGCAAAACCAGTAAACATAATCTAAACTATTTCCTCAAATCCACTTAATAATCACATAATTTAATTAACTGAACTTGTAAGATCAAGATAGATCCTTACCAAGTGTCCCAGGAGGTCTCCATATTTAAATTCCCATACTGGGGCTTGTAACCGAAAGACTTCAATGACATCATCACCCTTCATAACTGGGGTAGGGGAGCCAGTTGGACAGAAAGTGTATTTAGCTTGACAGTAAGGATCTGGTGCCGGACGGAAGGAAAAGCGTCTAATAAAGAAAAAGAAACCATCAACTTAGGATGCTTCTTCTTGCACATTTTAAAATCCAAATTTTAACTTCACTGTCAATAACATTTTTAGAGAAAACATTTAAAGCTAAGCCCATAGCATATAAATATACATTTTATTTATCCTGTGAACAAACTCCAATGATTTCTTTTACAGCAAGAGATATATTAAAAACACGTGGATAATAGCATGCTTCCCTGTTTCTTGCTCCCACTGGGAGAATTTTGAAGATGGGGACCATACCTTAAAGTGTTATAGCTCTAGATCTTATTTAGTAGACAAATGTTTACTGAATAAAGGAATAGTTTTCAAATGATACTTAATTTCCCAAACAATCCATATGCTAAGTGCTAAGATAATTCAAAGATAATTATGATTAAATAGAATATGTTCACTATTTTCTTAAAAATTCACTAATATTCCTTAAACCAGTATTTATTGAGGACCTACTATGTGTAGGACACTATACTAGGAAGGAGGGAAATAAAAATTATAATGTCATTCCCTTCCTCGAGGCGCTTTGGGTCTGGGCTGGGAAGACATTAAACAATGAAGCGCAGTGTAGTAGGTGCTAGACCAAAGAAATACACAAAGTCCTATGGACACAAAAGAGGAAGAAATCATTTCCACCTGTATGGGATAGGTGGGCGTGAGGAGGCCAAAGAGAGAGATGAAGAGCTGGCCTAGGTTTTTAAGCTACTTTCGAAGATTAGGACAGAAAGGGAGAGAAAACACTAAGTATTATAAGATAAGCACAAGACACTGGAAGAGTCTCTGGTGGGTAATTAAGACCAGGCTTTAGGCTTCCAGGCAGGAGTGGTGAGAGGAGAGGGAGGCAGCCGAACCGCCTGAGTCCGACCACCGGGAGGGCAGAGTCGAGGAGTCAGCAGAAAGGATTTTAAGTAGCAGATCTGATATGACTGATTTTGCTGTAAGATAAATCTTATTTTATAAATTAGAAGAAGGGAGAGAGGCCAAATTAAGGCTGAGAGGTCAGTTTTAGGAGGTTACTTCAATAATGCAACAAGAAAAGAAAGTGGCCTGAGAAGGCCGTGGCAATAGGACGACAGGGGAACTCAGCTCAGTGTTTACTGGTCACCTCCCATATTAGACACGGGGAGAAAAGACGAAAGGGAAAGAAGCTACCTATATCTGTGCTCTAAGGTTCCAGCTAGAGCTACTGTTGTACAATCCTAGCACATCAACAAAAATTCTTATTTTAATTGAAATCTAGATGTTAGCCAGAAATAGTAACAACCCTCAGGAACATTGACCAGATTCAGCTGTTTGATAGGTGCTTACCTGGTTTAAACAAACGTTTGATTATGTATGTCTCACCTGCCCACTGCAAAACCTATTTTACGTCTAAGGTAATTTCAAAAGCATAACTTAGTTCACACTTAATAAATTTTCTTACATACAGGTGAGGTTATTAGATAGCAACATATACTTCATATTTGAAACTGTTAAACATAAGAAGTCATACTCAATACCCTGCCCTTAAATCAAGTAGTTTTGTATTTACACTTTCCTCCTTGTTTTACTGAATATTTAATTTTTACTTCCTATGAACATTTTATTAACATTTCCCAGAACACCGGCATCAACCACAAACTTCTCTTTTCATGTACAGCAAGCAAAACAAGAACTGGTGAAAACCACTCCGTGAGCAAAATCCACTAATATCCAGGTTTGACAACAGCTGGCATTTACTAGATTTAATCCCCCCAACAAAACTAAGGTAGTGCTACCACTATCCCCACTTTCTGACGGAGGACACGTGGGCACAGAGGTACTGAACAACTTTGCCAAGATCACACAGCTAGTCTTGATGGTGCCGGATCTGATCAGCGGCAGGTGGAATCCGAAACTCACTCCCAACTCACTATTTTGTCATCTAAAATAGTTGTGAATGATGAGAATCATTGGCTGCCTCCTGCACCCCCACACTGGGGATGAGACCCGCCTGCGCCCTGCCCTGAATGGAACCCTGATGGCCATGCCCAGCCACTGAGCCTCACCAGCTGGGCTAGTTTTTATGCGTTTTCAAAGCTGCTGGCCTTTCCCGAGCCCCATGTGACAGCATGTTTTATTTCTCTGTGTTTAGCCACCTGACAGTATCAGGCCAAGTAAATACTCTTCTAGGTCAAAGGCTGGATTCCGCCTCACGGTTCTGCAGCCTCCGCGCTTGACTTGCGAGCAGCGTCCTACCTGCGGGCTTAAGACGGTGGGCGAAGGAAGTGTCACCCGCCCGCCTGGGACTTCCCGGGACATCGGACTTTCAGCGCTAAAAACGGGAAGTCCCGGCGAACGGAGACCAGGGGATGCTGCTGTAAAGTCTGCCAAAGGTTATGCACTCACGGTAGCTAATGATGGTGTAACGTAATAAATGTGAAGTTAAAAGTCCCCACTGTTCCAAGAGTCTAAAAGTGACGCGATAAAATAGCTTTACGTCCCTTTTCTTCCAGAATTCAGGTCAGCCCTGGGTCTGTCCCCTCCTCACTGACGCAAGTGTCCCTGAGAGACCGCAGGGCGACACGCAACAGGCAGGGGCCACTCCTGCGCTCCCAACTTCCTTCCACACCGCGCCGGGGTTTGCCCACGG